CCCAATGTTTTAGTAGCAGGAAAAGTCAGATATTATGCCACTCGTCTCGATTGTGCTGGGTCCACAAAATGCCCACAGCGGGGGCACTCCCCGGCTCGGGGCCCCGCTCCTCCAGGGAGGGCTGTGTACCTTTGGGTTGCTCCAGGGTGGCCGTGAGGGGCTGCGGCTTGTGAAGGCAGCGTTTTTTCTTCTCCAGAAGGGAGTTTCTGCCTCTTCCACCTCAATTAGGATTGTGCTTTGTTGCAGGAGTTCCTCTTATCCAGTTTTCAGTTCTGTCTCAGGGGTAATTTTTCCACAAGTAGTGGTAAATTGGCTGTGTCCGCGGGAGGAGGTGAGTTCAGAGTCTGCCTATGTGCCATCTTGACTTCGTCTCTGGATGTATTTTTTTAAATTCTTGAATTTCACTCTTAATATTTGTGAATTTCATTGTATAAGTACAAATGTTTTACCAAAAAGGGGAAAAAAAATCACAAATAGTGAACTCTTTTAGGTTTATTTTTATTGATGGTGTGTTTGCTGTTACAGACTACCTTCATTTTTCTGGGATTGACCAAGTGAGTAAATCTATAGCGTGTAATGGGAGCCAGGGTTCTCTCTGTTGGAGAAGGGAGTTACAAATATGGAAGGAAAGAATACTCTAATGTACCATACTGTATTGGATTGGAATTTGAAATATCAGTAGGAAAGAAATATATGTATACATGTGCATACGTGTACACACACAGATATCCAGTAGTCTGTCACAGCGTGAGCCCAGAATGCCAAAATTTGATCCCTCTGTGACATTGCAGCATCAGCTTTGTGACAACTGTTCTACAGCTATCTAGAAATGGAAACAAAACCACCCAGAGAGCTGCCTGCAAACTGCCTGTTAGTGACCTGAGTGGTCACAAAACTGTGGGACCACAGTTTTGCCAACTCCCAAGGCCTGCATGCTTTGATGGCTTCCTACCTCTACCAGCTCTTTAGAGAATGGTCTCTTGTTTATCCAGCAAGTCCAAACCAGCTCCAGCCTTCCCGAACTAGCCAACTTCCCTATCATCGGTTGGGATGAACCATACCTTTTCCAATGAGGCCTGAACTCCTTCTAAGTTTATAGATTCGTGGGTCCTCTCCCTCAGCCATAGGACACCATATAGATTTTCCTTATGTCTTGTAGTTATGCTCTTATCACAGTTAATAATTCCTTATGTTAAACCTCTCCTGTTCAATCTCCTGGTATTTTATGTCTCCTGATTGAACTCACTTCTTTTACAAGATCAAAACTAACACCATCAATATTGGAACTAATTAACATTTTGTGACCCTTGATGTGATTTACTGAGATACACACAGAATCTCTTCTGCCATATTTCTTCCAAAATTACATAACATCAACCTAGTCCTGAGAAAACACCACACAATCCCTAATTATGGGGCAATCTGAAAAATAACTGGCTTGTGCTTTTCAAAAATGTCAAGACCAAGAAAGAAAGAGAAAGACTGAGAAAATTTTCCATATTAAAGAAGATCAAAGAGACGTGACATGTGTATACAATACTTTATCCTTCATTAGATCTTAGACCTGGTGAAAAATATTTATAAAGGACATTATTGGGGCATTTGGCAAAATTTGAATATGAATCATGGATTCTTTAATAATATCAATGTTAGATTTCATGATTTTGGAAATTGTACCATGGTAATGTAAGAGAATAAACTTCTTAGAAAATATACATTGCAGAATTTGAGCTAAAGAAGCACAATGCTTCCAATGTGCTCTCAAAAGGTTTAGGAGAAAGATATGTGTGTGTGTACACACATGCATACACATACACAAATAGATGGAACAAATGTGACAATATGTTTAAAAATGGAGAATTTGGGTCAAAATTTTTTTTTTGCAATATTCTTTCAACTTCTCTAAGTTTAAATTATATAAAAATAATAATATTTTTATTATCAAAATAAAAATATTTTTATTTATCAAAATAAAAAATTTAAAAAATAAGATAAATAAGCCCAGGGTCTGGCATGATTTAAGTTCTGAACTGATTAACCTTCTCCAGCTGCCTCCACTGGATGGTCTCCTCTATACTCTGCCTCCAGATAAGCAGTATTTTTACCAGATGCTAGGCTTGGCCCTGGTCTTGCCCTTTCTTTCTTTCTTTTTTTTTTTTTTTGGTGATGAAGATTTTCCCTGAGCTAACATCTGTTGCCAATCTTCCTTTTTTTGCTTGAGGAGGATTGTCCCTGAGCTAACATCTGTGTCGATCCTCCTCTATTTAGTATGTGGGACACTGCCACAGCATGGCTTGATGAGCAGTGTGTAGGTCCATGCCTGGGATCCAAATCCGTTAACCCTGGGCCACTGAAGCAGAACGTGTGAACTTAACCACTACGCCACTGGGCCGACCTCTGCCCTTTCTAATCTTCTCTGTCTCTCTCTCTTTCTACCTGAAATAACTTCTCCCTTTCTTCTGATGGTCGAAATCCTTATTTTCAAAGCCAAATTCAAATCCATCTTATTGATGTCAGTTAAAGGACCTTCCCAACTCTCTGGCTTAAATCACACTGATCTGTCTTCCAAAAAATTTTATTATACTCTCTACTTCATACTTCAGAACAATAGTTCTAAGAGGTTGGACATGCTTTTATCTCCTTTTTGGAGAAGGTCTCAAGCTTTACCACATAATGTAGCAGACTCCTTAGGTCTCTTTGATCTCATATCTCAGCCCCATAATTTATTAGCTGTGTGACCTTGTGGAAGTTTCCAAACTTCTCTGTACTTCAGTTAGTCTATAAAATGGGAGTAATGACAGAACCATACTTACAATGTTGTCAGAAGATCAAAGAGGACGATGTATGAGGTGATGTATGTAGAGCACTTAGAACAATGCCCTCCAAGTAGTAAGTGCTATGGAAATGTTCAAATTTTTTAGAAGAGCCACAGGGCCTAGTATAGGAAGGAGATGTTCGTTATATTGTTGTTAATAGTTTGATTGATTTCGATAGTCTCTATTTTTCTCTGTACTGTGAACTTTTAAAGCCTGTATCACAACCTCTTTATATTAGCTTTTCATAGCAACTACTATATTAGAGAGTTAAAGATTTTCTTATCTTTAATGTAATGAAACAAACAAACCAATAACCAACCAACAAATAAAGGCAAACCTTGCTCCTCTCTGTTTCTATAAGAAAAACAAAAAACTACCTGCTAAAAAAAAATAGAAATGAAAAAAGAAATCCCTTATACATAGTAGTTGACATTCATTGTTATTTTTGGCTATTCTCACACATTTTAACACTTGGGATTGAAATCATTTCAACTGAAAAGCTTCCCTCAGTTGAGAAGCCTGGATTCATGTTTATTCTTAGCTTGGCAGCAAGGAGACCTGGCCCAGCTTTAACATGAGAAGCATAATTTCCCACAGAGTCAAGGCAATGTGGGAAGACACAGCCTCAAGTTAGGGGTCTCAGGGACTCTCCTGAAATCTGTTAAAGTTAAACTCAACATATCAAACATCTACAACATTATGCACTAAGTGCTTCTGGGGAAAAAAATCTCTGCCTTTAAGTAACTTATCACCTAATATGTGTGGATGGCTATAGGCAACAGGCAACATAATTCATACTAGAGACATAGACATATTTGAGGATTCAAAGGAGACAACCATCAGAGAGACCTGAGGAGTAGTATTCAGCAGAACCAGATGTGGTATGTTAGTAGCATGACATTGAAGTTTGGGTGGGATTTCAACTGAATTGGACAAGGAAAAGCTAATGATTTGTGTTTGGATCCAGGAATATAGTAGAGCTGGCAAATAATGAGACTCCATCCTCAGGAGATAGTCTGTTCAGTTTAATTAGGAAGACAGAAATTAAGAGTAATAGATTCAAATATTTAATTATAATGCCTTTGGTATGTAGAGAGTACTCATAACTAAATTATAATCCAAACATCCATCTCATAAACCATGAGAAGGTGATTAAAATCACCACCGAGTAAAATCCTTATTTCTTAAGCTATATAATGCATGAGATAGTTCTGTAGCATGAACTAGAAGTTCAGAACTCTATTGGGTGTTGTTGGCATAATGTCCTAGATGATGAGAAAATGTGCTATTCATTCTTTATAAAAATAATGCCATTGACCTATGCTCAATAAGTCATATGCTCTGAGATTCTGCAGGGATGGTGGCACTCTGCCAGCTGGTCCTCTTATAACAAAGATTCACATTCAAATAGTAGCCACCATAGTAGGGAGTCTGGAACTTAACAACATTGTGAAACTGGTTGGCCCATGAGGCCATGGGGACTGCCCACCAGATGGCCTCTGAGCTCTAGTCTCCAGCTCATGCTGAATGAAATAATTAATGACCACTGACATAAGCATCATACTTGCAAATATCTGGTAACATAATGATGACCTTTTCTCCATTATTTTTCCTTTGTTATTTTCACTGAAAAGATAATACCTCTAAAGGCCAAAAGGCCAGTAAGAGGTTAGGGTGCCAAGGATAATCTTGGAATTGATTTAAAATGGACTTGTCTTTTAAGGTCAGATCTCACAACTTAACAAAATGGCTGGCACACCGTTAGAGAGAAATAAATGAGACTTTATTAAAATTATTACCATCCTTTACTTAATATTTCCCCTTTCTGACCATGAAGTTCTGCTGCCTTCCCTCCTTTTACCATGGTCTTCAAAAAAGTCCGCATTGGTTTTAAAACCCAAAATATTGGTTTTGAAATCTAAACAGATCATGTTGACCCTCTGCTTAAAATCCTTCAATGGTTTCTGGTAGCTCTTAGAATAAAGACCCTGTAATACAGAGTTAGCACCTACAGCATCTGATGTCACCCTTCCTCTATAGACTTAGCCCTCATCACACTGACCATAAATCTCTTTGCTGCAGTACTACAACCCCTCCTTCATTTGCTGGTAGCTTTCCACACATGCATTTGCACATACTGTTCTCTATTCTTGGAATGCTTAGCTTGTTTCTTCTTCACTTGGCCACCCCTCACTTATCCTTCAGGTCTCAGCTTAAGTACATTTTCTCAGGGAAGCTCTCCCTGACCTTCCTGACTAGATATCATAAACCTTCATATCATCACGTGCCTCTCCTTCTTAGCACTTATCACAATTGTAAGTCTCTATTTCTGTGATAATTTGACTAATATCCATCTTCCTTACCAGATGATAAGCTCCATGAGGGCAGGGGCAATGTCATTTCACTCAATATTTTATCCCAGAACCTGGTGCAATACTTGGTACACAGTAGGTTTCATAAATAATATTCTATACAATAAATAAATATTTATTGAGCATTATGTGACTAAATTGGTGACAATCACTTGAATGAAAAGAGAAAAGAAATAATAGTGGTTATGGAACTACAAAGCAGAATCAACATAATATAAAAAGGTAAATGTATACATGAGTAACAAGAATTATTTCTCCTTGCATAAGCTTATATCAAAACAAATAATCACTGAGAGTTAACAATAAAATAACAAGATAAAAATTAGTAAAACAGTTTCAATCTTCTACAAAGGAAAGTTTCCTTGTATGACTCATTTTTTTGTGCCTATTGTCATAAACTTCCAGTTTTCCAGGGACTGTAAACTCATTTACGCAGCCAGAAGAACTTCTGAGACACCAAACAGTAGGGGAAAGTTGTTTAGAGCTCTAGGAAAATCAGCTTAGGGAAAATAAATATATCTATATCTATATATTTCTCTATAGAGATATAGCTATAGATATACATATTTGAAAGTACACTTAAAGGTACCTACTTAAATTATGTGTCATGGTGTAATCATACCATATTTGGTCAAGAACAGTTAGATCATCTTATCTGTAAAGAAATGATAGAGCCAAAAGACTGAATTTTAGCTGAAAAAGAATTTTACAAGCTAGGCTTATTTATGTCATTTTAGAAGTCTCTAGAAAACAGTATGTTTAGAATGAAAAATGAGAATTTCCAAATCAAAACCCAACTTTCAAGGAAAGGTTTGTTTTCACTAATATGCTGGAAAGCATCAATTTGAGTGTCCATAATTTGCTGAACTGTGGAACGAATATACTATACGACATCTGCCTTAGGCACTGGATTGTAAATATTTCACAGCTTTATAGATGTACCACTATTAAGTGTGTTTTAGCAGTCAACTGAATAATGTTTTACAGCATCAAAATGAAAAAGTTTCTTTTTTATCTTTATCAGAGAGCTTTGAAAATACATCACAATTTCATTTTATTTCTTGTATATTAGGACCAAATCCAAAGTTCTTCTAGTGAGAGAGGGAAAGAGTCTTGAGCTGTGATCTGCAATTCTTCCCTATTCTAGGAGGAAATGCTATAAAAATTCTGATTACATATCCTCAGCTAGGCCGCAGATTTGTTTTGATATGTGTGATAGACAGAATAATGTCCCCCAAAGATGTCCACATCCTAATCCCTGGACCCGTGGTTTTGTTACTTTACACAGCAAAAGAGACTTTGCAGATGTGATTAAATTGAGAATCTTGAGACACTTGATGATGGAAGCATGAGTCATAATCAGAGAGAGAAGTTGGAAGATGACATACTGCTGGCTAGAAAATGGAGGAAGAAGCAGCCACAAGCTAATAAATGAATGCAGGCAGCCTCTAGAAGCTGGGAAAGGCAAGAAAAGAAATTCTCCTCTAGAGCCTTTAGAAGGAATGCAGTCCTGCCAGCACCTTGATTTTAGTCCATCGAGACCCATTTCAGACTTCTGGCCACCAGAACTATAAGATATTAAGTTCGTTTTGTTTTAAGCCACTGTACTGGCAATAGTAATAGGACACTAATACAGTAACAAATTATATATATTTGGTGCTCAGAGTTTTAATTAATACATTAATAATGAGTGAAATAATTTTAATGTTAAAGTAGTCTCAAAAATAAATCAAACAAATAAAACTCAACAAATGCTTTTGAACACAGTATCTTACAGTTTTCTTAGTATTCAAACATATCTATTTAATCAGCATATCACTTGGTCTTCTGGGACTGTGTAAATATAGATAAATTTGCCTTGTATCCCTAATTCCACGTACTGTAGAAGTCCAATTCCCTCTGGCCCTGAAGGAACATAACAGGGGTGATAAGGCAAATTCAGAAAAGATTATAATACAGGAGAGAGAAGTAATGTGGCTACAGATGTTTAGGAGAGAGAAAGAGAAAGAGAGAGAGAGATACCAATTGGGAGAACCAGGAACTGGTTCTTGGAAAGATGGCCGCCGTAAAGGTGAAGACCGTTAGGAACAAATGTGATGTTAGGAAATCATGGAGCAGGGACAGAGAAAACTTGTAGTTGTGAGGATAAGACTGGAAAGCAGAAAAAAAACAAGCAAATGAAGACCCTAAAAGCCAAGTTCAGGATTTTGTTTTCTATTCTGGGGACAATGGAGAAATTCCTCAAAGTCATATAGCATAAAATACTTTCGTTATCCCTGTACACCAGTGTTAAAACAAGCACTATGATTTCCTTGAGGGAGCTGGAAAGGAGAGAAAATCCACCAGTTTCCAAGTCCTTTTCCCAACATCTCACAATCTGGAAGAACCTCTTGAAGCAGAGCAGAATTGTCAGCTCTGAAAGAGTGGGAAGTTACACGCATGCTTGGGGTTGTGAGAAATGAATTGCTTTCTTTGTAAAAATGAAGACCTACAGAGATAGAGATTACTCTTCAGTGCTTCATGTCTTACTCCATCCTTGATAGGAGGTAGAAGACCATAGTGAAGAAGAGTGTGGGCTAGTGTGAATGTGACACATACTTTGCCATTAGATGTAGCCAAGGACTGAGTTTTAGTCATGGAATGTAACTAAAGCCATTTCCAGAAATAGCCCATATAAGAAACTCTCACACCTACTCCTACATGGTGTTTATTTTCCCTCTACCTGGATGGGATCTACAAAACCACCATGATGAAAGGTACATGCTGAATAGGGCACAGGTACCTCCATCTAGTCTGTGTTCAAGGAGGAGATGTGAACTTGTATTTTGTAATCTCTTGGCAGTCTATGACACAGGGAATAAGGTAACAGTTGCCATTTCCAACTAGAACTTTCTTATATCTTCTGCTAAACCAGGGATTTGAGGTCTCAGAGGGCTGGGATTAAATCACTTACTAGTGGATGCCCTAAAACAATTACTTTCACCTTTATCAACTAGTACATCCTTATCTATAAAGTAGGGCTGATATTAGGCCAACAGAACAAAATTGTAAAAATCAAGTAAAATGTGAAGTGCCTAGCATGGTGTCTTGTACATAGTAGATATTTACTCCAAATCCCAGACAGAATCCCTTTTGTTGAAGAACCCCTGATGATCACATGTCTATTTGTCATCTGAATCTCATAACTCTTTTTTAAGACTTATTACTCTTTTTTAAGACTAACCCAGACTATGTTATACTTGAAATCTGCTACCTGGCTGCTTCTACATATTGTCCTGTTTTATAAGAGAAAAATCGAGCCACTTGTTACTTAGGAGCTCTCACTATTCTGAACTACCTGCCCAGTCCTGCCTGTCATGCTCTAGTCCCACCCCCTCCATGAAGCCTTTGGTGAAAGCCTTACTTCCTACAGAACTCTCTGCTTCTTGATTGCCCAAAGCATTTATTGCTTTTATTGTATATTTTACTTAGTAACATTTACTTTTTATGTATACTATTTCTAGCTTTAACTTCTCTTGAAGAAGGTAAAGTTTAAGTAGTTATTATAATGTATTTTGAAATGTCTCAGATGATTACATAAATATACATTCCTACCTCCCACAATTTAATCACATCACTCTCTGCTTAGAAGCCTTTGATGGCTCCCTGTGGCTGACTTCTGTTGACCCCTAATTATCCATTCTCCACTGATTTTTTTTGACCTCTATTTATCCATTCTCCCCTTCTTAGATAAAAATAATGTTTAGTCCAACATGGAGCCATTTTAGTAGACTTCATTTCCCTGCCTCCCTGGTACTTGGGTATTGCCAGGAGACATAAGTGAACGATTTCCCAGTTTTATTTGAATGTTCATTTAAAACAAGACTTATATTTTATTTGTTGAATAGCAGTGTGGGAGAGTAGAAAAGGCACTTGATTAGAAGCCATAAAGTCTAGAACCAGATTCACCAAATTTTAGCCAGTTGTGAGTCGTTTGCCTAGGCCAGTTTAGGTGACTCAATTGTAAAATTAAGATAATGATATCTACTCTTAATTCTTCTCAAGGTTGTGAGTGGTCAAGTGGTGTGGTCAGGTATTTTACAAGTATTAAGGACTGCAGATATAGGCACATTTTTTATGGCTTTCAGAAATTATTTATTCGGTGCTGTCATTTCACATTTTAGGAGAATACCAAATGGAACAAATCCAAACCAAAACACCCCAGGAAGTTGAATGGCTTAAAGGTCACATAACCCTTAAAGACTGAGTCAAGAACCCCCTCCAGATCGCCTGACTTTGGGCCTGGGCACTTTCAACTACACTACCCTCAGCTTATGACAACTTTTGTCTTTTCCCGTCTCACTGGGAAAAATACAATGGTGAAAACTGTACCTCTGAGTCATTCACTGAGTCAGTTGAACTCAAATCTATCTCCAAAGTCTGGCTACTTTGTAACCTTTCCTGAATTCCATTCTCCAGGCGTGGGAGGGAAGTCAATCCTTCCCCAGACTCACTGGTTAGTACCATTGGTAATTCTCTTATTTGTATTCCTGTCAACGTCACTTTTAATGCACCAAAGCCTGCGTTTCAAGCAATAACCAGCCAGAAGTTTATGAAACAAAAGATTGATATCAGATTCATAAAACTCAGGCAAAAGCAATATCTTTTCGACATTTTGTTAAGCCTTCAATTCTGGGAACCTTTTTACTTTGTGACTACTGGAAAATGTTATAATTACTAATAATAAGGGCAAAAATAAAAATAACAGTTGGAAATATCTTCCAGGAGCCACCATTTTTGTTAATGATCCTAATTTCTTTATTGATTTGGTGACAAGAAAGGATATACTTACTACTTTCTCTAGGTTACCAGTGTATTTTCTCTTTTTTAAAGAAAGTGAAAGCTTCTGAGTACGTGGCTTAAATGTCAGCATGTTGTTTAAAAATCACCTGGCTTATTTATGCATTAGAGACTTGGAAAGCTAAAATGCATAGCCACAGCTAACCTATTCCTCAAAATGAGGAGTGACTTTGTGAGAAAGACATAATTTTTTTGAAATATGAACTTTGGGAAAGTAACCATTTACAAAACTTTCTCAGAATCTATTCTCCATCTATTGGGCTATTATTTTTGCTCACAAAGACCAATAGCAAATGTAGGGATTTGATATTTTACAATAACTCCCTTCACACCTATGATTTGGTACCATTCAAACTTGGCCTTTTCTCTCACTTCTCTAATTCACAAACATGATAAATTAATCAGATTGAACAAGTTATCATTTCCCCCACACTTACTTTCACTTCCCTTTTTTTTGTTTTTTTAAA